TAGAGTCCTGAGGAATTAGTGTAATAAAGACCAGCGTTACCCAAACTGATGGGGTCATGCTGAAACAATTTCTTTGACGTCAATTAAAATGACCCCTCCCAAGCAATGTTGCTGTTGCTTCATGCTAGCAGAAACTGCAAATTCTCTGCCCATTTAATCTGAAAAATTAGACCTATGATCACTTCAGTAAAAAAATAAATGTAGTAATGGTTAAATGCTCAGAGATGGGGAATACTTATGTAGGTTTTTGACAACTATAATTGATGAGCATTATTATCTCTATAGTAATAGTCTAGTCCTACACAAAGCCTCTGGCTTTGTCTAGTTCAAAGAGGAGACTGAGGAGCAACTTCGTTGCTCCCTGCAGGTTCCTGAGGAAGGGGTGTGGAGGGGAAGGTGCTAGGCTCTTCTGCCTGGGAGCTGGGGACAGAATGCCTGAGAATGGCTCAAAGCTTTTGCAGGGGAGATTCAGACTAGACATTATCTGAAAGCATTTCTTTACTAAGAGAGTGGTGAAACACTGGAACCAGCTTCCTAAAAGATGGTTGATGCCCCAGGTACGTCAGTGTTAAAAGGCACTTGGATTGTGCCCTTAATAATATACTTTAACAATGTTTCAGCCCTGAAGTGGTAAGGCAATTGAACTCGATGATCAGTGTTGATCCTTTCCAAATGAACTATTCTATTCTAGTCTAGTCTGGTCTAGTCTAGTCCTGATGTTATTACACTTCACCTAGGGAAGAGGTCAAAGCATCTCAACTTGGTGATACTAAGGTTTTTCAAAAGGGAGTAACTGTATTCACTTAATATTAATCATAAATGCCATTCCCAATATATCACCCTGGTTTTTAAAAAAAAAATTTAAGTTAATTGCTTGGCCTAGCCTGGAGGAAGTACTAGCTTGAAATTCAACAAAAATCTAGCATTTTTGAACAGAAGCACTGCTGTAAGTCAGAGTAACTTGGTGGAAGTACTGCCACTGCTTCTTCTCAAATCCCTGATGTAATTTCTCGAGAACTTTGCATCTCCAGGAATTCTAGCATCTGCTAGTTTTTTAAGTATTAGAAGTTTTAGCACTTCCTGTAGTAAGGAAGAACATGCATGTTCAGGTGAGATACTAGAATTTTCCTATTTTGAGAGTTTAAAACTCTGGTCTGTGGAGGTAAGAAATTGTAAGAGTTATTGTTTCCTACTGAGGTAGAATACAGCTAGAATTTGGATACATGATTTCAACTTCCCTGTACAAATATAGAGCAAGAGAGTGTTTACTGTTTCAAGTCAAGTGGTAAAGAGAGCAAACAAAGAGAAATACATAGCTGTCCTGCCTGTACTTATCACCATGGCAAATGACGAGTGGAACTGGTAATAAACCCATGCTTTCTGCTCTCAGCCACATGTCCTGGTCAGTAGGTCTTGTGGCCTCCCATCCCAAAAGAATCACTAGAAAAGGAGAGCAGGCAAAGATAAAGCAGAGGTTAAGTTAGAAGAAAAACACAACACACATCTGCCCTATTTAGCGTATTTGCCAAAGGAAAGGAGGCTCATAAATCAGTTGTACATGGTGTTCCTCAGTGATACTTAACCTTTTCATTAAGCATAGGAAAGCAGTGGGAGCTCTCAGCATCAGAACTTTTTAACAGTCTTGTAAAGAGAGGTGAGAGAGGTTACTATTGCTCCAATGCACCAGTTTTCTTTTTAATAGATGCCAAGTTAATCATTCAACCAGGAGAACAGCTTCTACTGTAGCTTGCTTGCATTGCCGATCACTGAGAATCCACCCAAAAGACAATACAAGAGTAGCTGAGATCTACTCACTTCCCTGCTTAGAGGAATGTTAATTTTATTGTGCTAGCTAGAAGAAATTACAAGAATTCCTCAATCCACTAAACCTCTGTTCACTGAAATGCATAAATAACATGAACCAAACAAATTACAGAGCCTAGCTTTTTAGAAAACTATCACATTTATCTAGCAGGTGAATATTTTTTTTTTTTTTTTTTTTTTAAGAAAACAAGGCCAGAACTATAATTGGCCCTGGGATGGGCAAAGAGAATATGGGAAGGCAGAATGTGAAAAGCTGAAATAAGTTAGAGTGACAACATAATATTTTGATTATTCAAATAGAAATGTGAAAGCCTTTTCAGTCCTATTGGAGAAAGTTACATTACATTGAAATCGTAGCAAATTTGTGCCACACTTTAAATTTTATGCAGAGTACTGTAAGTACTCAATAACTGCTCAGTCTAACTTCACAGTAAGGTCAAAGTGAGAAGGGCTTCAAAAAGAGGAGGGCATGACCCAGAACAGTTTTTGTCATCAGGGAAGTTTGTGACAACTTCAGGGCAAGAGAGAGATGGCTGGACAAAAATGAAATCAAATCTCTCAATACCGTGTTGAATTGGGCTACATTCTTTTCACCTATCCACACACTTCACACCATTGAGGCCTCTTTCCTAACCAGACAGATAACCATTTTGATGTTGTAAAAACTGAATTCTAACACTTTAAACTTGGACTGGATATGTCAAATTGATTCTTCTGGGTTGTTTTTTAAAATTTTTCCCCCTGGATTTTGCAGAGGCAGAAATAATGTTTAATTTTGAAACTGTCTCTACAATGTTTTATTAACTTAATGGTTGGACTAATTGTGCATGTTTGCAAAATTATAATTGTAATCAATCTAAGTGGCTAATCATGTACTTTAGAAGTTTACACTAAACAGTCCTGTTACAGGGATTGCAGTTTCTGTTAATGCTATGTAAATCCTAACTATATTTCAAAGCTACTCCTTAGTACTTGGTGTTTTGAAATGCCTTTTTAATTACACTATAAACAAGTTCCTATTAAAATAACACTATTAGTCATTAAAAATAGGACATTCTATAATGTATAAGGGTAATTGGACTTCTGTGACATGCACGGTGATCGAATTTTTTAATTGCATGATGACAGGATTGTTTTCCATAGGGCTTTCACTTGTTCAGTGTGCCAGTATTCACTTAATGAGCTGCTATGCAGCACTTAGTACATTCTTCCTGAATCCTGTCTCTTAATCCAGCAAAATCTATTCCTTCTCCCTTCTCACTAGGTTTTTATCAAGTCTTATTGTGTGCTGACAAGTAACAGTTTCCCTGGTTAGTTCCCATCCTCATATGTTATTTATCTTTTACCTACTCTTAAATTTATTTCCTTCCATAAACTGAGGCCTGGCTGGTTTTTTTTGCTCAGCCTAACCTAGGCGTAGATGCATTCCTATCCTAGTTATCATCTCAGAAGAGCTTTTCCTGAGCATTCTTCTATTTTCTGTGAGCTTTTTTCCATCTATCCTCATGATATTTTCTTACATTTGTACTGGAAGCCAATGAGATACCTGTTTCTCAGGTTCTTCTTGTGACTTTTCTGTTCAGGTTATAGAGAAAGAAGTATAAACAGTCAGTAAAAAGGCACAGATGTACATGCAATCAAGTCACTCAAGGGAAGCATAGAATTTACAGCCTGTTCAACCATGAACATTGGAAAAATCACAAAAGTGCATGTGCAAACAAGTATTAGCATAGGGGTGGATGCTGCACTTCTCTGTCACACTATCAAGCTGAACACTGGCAATCCTAGGGATTTTTTTTTTTCTGATTGTTTAATGTAGAAACCAGAAGGAATTATACTCTTTTGCTCCACTCTAACATAACACAAAGGAAGCAAGGGAAGGGGGAAGGGCAGTCATCAACAGTGGCTATGCTATTGTTTTCTCTTCAAAAACTTGGCAAAGCAACAAGCTAGACACAGCTGAAATGTGCTGGCTAAAAACTTCTCAAAACTTTCATCTGAGACAGACACAAACCATGCCTAATACCATCATAGGGAAAGTTTGTCAAAGCCACAGATACCTGAAAAAAGGGTTGCATTAAAAAAAAAAAAAAAAAGTAATCCCTATATACGTACAACATTACCAGCATTGCCTTCAATTCTGATTCACATGCTTTTATACATATGATGCTAATGCATGAATTGGAAATTAATGGTATGCTCTAAATGCATATTTTGGTTTGGGGTTGTAATTCTGTGGTTGGTCAAGGAACACTTTCTTGATTTTGGTATTTTTAGAAGTGAGTATTTTGATTTCGAAATAGGTCTACAAAAATTGTCTCAGCTCAAAAATGATCTCCCATACCGGGGAAGTTAGGAGTTGGACTACTCTTTGTTCATGAGCTTGCATTTGAGTTTTATTTTTTAAATCCGTTCATGGCTCATTTGCCAGTTCAAGTCAGAAAGAAATCCCCTTCCTAACGGTCTTCCCTCCATTTATTGTGACCAAAAAGCGGTTTTATTTCATTGTCTTGAGGAAGGTAACGGATCACAGGAAAGGATCTGGGCCTCCTGGGGGACACGAAATTAAACACAAGCCAAAAATGTGCCCTTGCTGAAAAGGTGAATGCTATCCTGGGCTGCACGAGGCAGATGGAGGGAGGGGACCCCTGCCCTCTGCTCAGCGCTGCTGAGGCCACACCTGCAGGGCTGTGCTGAGTTCTGGGCTCCCCAGTGTGGAAGACATGAACACACTGGAGAGAGGGCAACAAAGGGCCATGAGGATGATGAAGGGACAAGAAAGCATCTCTCCTAGGAGGAATGGCTCAGAGAGCTGGGACCGTTGAGCCTTGGAGAAGAGGCAGCTCGGCGGATCCCATACACCTGTACTAACGCCTGCAGGAGAGTGCCAAGAGGACGGGCCCAGGCTCTTCCCAGTAGTTTCAGTCCTTCTTCCCGCAGGGCTTAGCGGCCACAGCAGCAACGCTCCTCCAGTGTACCACCGCCGCTCCCAGCCTGACCCACAGCACCCTGACACGGTCCTACCCTCTACTGGCGCAGTGGGGCACTTTAAGCATTTTCAAGCTGCGCTTTACCCGAGGGGCACAGCCGCGGCCGGGCGCGGGGGTCGAAGCCTCCCGGAGAGGGCGCGATGCCGGCCCCGGAAGGAGGGGGGTGACGTGCCGCCGCCGCGGGAGGCCATGGCGGGGGCTCCGCCCGCGGCGCCGCGGGGATTCCTCGGGGAGGGGCCTCCTCCGGCCGCCACGGACGAGCCGCTGCTGGCCCCGCCCCTATATAAGGGGCGGCCTCGGCGCGGCCCCGACGGCGGCTGTCGCGTCTCCCGCACCGAGCTACGTTCGGGCACCATGGCAGGTCAGTGTGCGCCCGCCCGGCTCGCGCCGCCCTCCGCGAGGGCCGCGGTCCGAGCTCCCGGCCGCGGGATCGCCGCGCCCGCGCCTGTTTCTAGGCAGCCGTCCCGGCGGCGAGCTGGCTTCGACTGGCGGGAGCAGGGGCTGCTCGCGGGGGGTTCGGAGCCGTCCCGCCGGGCACCGCTGTGCGGTTTGAGAGAACGCGTACGGTACTGGCTCTTTCCGCGCCAGCTCGGTGCTCTGACCCGGGCTCCGTCCCCTAACGGGAGCGATGTCGCCGGCGTGGCGGGGAGCGGCATGGGCCGGAGAGGCCGCTGTAGGGGTACAGCTGCTCACCGGGGAAAACCCAGCCCTCTCCTGAAACGCCGCAGAGAGCTTGTGATTTCTGTGATTTTGATACTTTGCAGTGAGTAGGTCCTTACGGCTTTCCACTCCACGTACGTGTCATTTCTTTCTTCCGTTTTTTTGTTGTGGTTTGTTGTTTTGTTGTTTTGTTTTTGGTTTTTTTTTTTTTTTGGGGGGGGTTTTGGGTTTTTGGGGGGTTTTTTTTGTTTTGTTTTTGTGGGTTTTCTTTCTTTTTTTTCTTTTTTCTTTTTTCCCCCGTTTTTCACCTGAAGTTGTCAGCAGAGTCGGTTTCATTTTCAGGTCTGGAAGCCTGCAGGAAGTCTGCCCTCCGATGCATGTCTTGATAAGATGCTCCTGTCTCTCTAGGAATCCTGTGCTCAAAAAAAATCAGATATACTAGCACCTAACTCAGAGAACAGGAGAAAAGGCAAGCACCTGTGAACTCTGGCTATGCCTAGGATAAATCTTCCAGGGGAATTTTTAAATGATCTGGGGCAAGCACTCCAGTAACGTCCTGCACGCCATCAAATGAAAGATCGCTTCTAGCTCAGACTTCCAGGATGTTTGTGGGTGTGTAAGGGCTAGCACAAAAACTCTTGCAAAGAAATATTATAGCCTATGATCTGGGCAGCCAAAGAGTTCTCTGAAGTAGCATGGTTTTGTCTGGGTAAGTCAATTAGGAAGCTGTACAACTGCCTCTCATTCTACGTGGTTTTGAGGACATACTGTCACCAAGAGTTCATTATGTTTCAGGCCTAACAGTGGCTGCTGTGTAAACACAAGATTCTGTGAAGAAAGTGTTAACAGAGAAGGAGAAAAGGATGAGAAGGGAGAACCCACACAGCTGAAATACTTGATGTTTAGGTAGAATGGACTAGTCTTTTGCAGATGTAACTTCTATAGTAAGCACCAACTGGTCTTGCCCCAGTTGTAGTACGGGCTCATGTACTTACAAATTATATAGAATAGAACACTTAGATATGATATATAGAGGATATTGAACACAAATAGGATGATATAGAATAGATGCAATAGACACTTTAGATATAGAATAAAACATAGTTTAGTAGAAACTTTGGAAAATTATGCTGCCCTAGATGGTCTCCATGTCGGCAATATTCATCTCCTGTCAAGCAGTTGTGAAGTTTCCTCCTAGAGACGGAATGCAGTAGGGGGCTTCTTAGCCTTTATTCCATCATTAAATTGACCTTATTTCCCTTTGTGTGTGTGAATATTCAGTTTCAAGAAGATGCGACAGAGTAAAAGTGTACCTGCTAACAGGTACAGAAAAGATCTGTCTAAAGTGGCAAGGTCACTTTAAGAATTAGTGCTACACTGCTAGGGGAAAAAAAACCAAACCCAAACAACACTCAGATGAATATTGGGCACAATCCCACTTCATCTACAATGGAATTTTAGTGAGCTGTCTGAGAGCATAGTGTCAGACTTCCATGTATTGAATAGTAACATGCAAATTACCTAGTGAAAAACCCTGTCCTATTAGGAAGATGTTTACAGAACTTAAAATATTACATCCTTGCCCTTTCAAAGAAACAAAGTTGTTCTGCAGATTTGCTGAATATGAACTAGTACAAATAGGCAGCTGAAAGTGAATTGAAACAAAATATCTTTATTCCTGGCATTATAGAAGCTTTTTTGATCTTTGTGATTGACCACTATAATCTAAATCCCTTGGGACTAGTTGGTTTTGCTGCTAAGCAAAATACAAGGTTTTGTAGCTGGTCTATAGATCTTGCAGACCAGGTTTGCAGAGCTTATAGGCAATTACGGTACATGATTGTCTGTCATCAACTATTAAGCAGGAATTAAGTTAAAAAGATATTGATGATGGTTGCCTTGTGAGCTTAGGCGTTGTGTGAAGCAACAATTTTTCTGAAAGGAGTCAGTATTTTAATCTTACTACTAGGCTTGATAGTAAGCCTTTAAGTGGCCAGAACTGTCACTCTCATCTAACCTAGTTAACACCTTCTGTAAAGAAATCAAAGTTGCTAAAATAAATTTGACTCTTGAATTTCTTAGGAAGAAACTGTTTTGTTGATGGAGTGAAAATAGATTGGTAGAAAAGAGCATGCTTTGTGAAGTGGTGTAACTTTGAAAGGAGGGCTACTAACAGTGAACTGAAGAACTTTTATAAGTCACTTTGCTTTTGTGAGTCCCCTTCTGGCATGAGGAAGGCAACTCTTGTATAATATGGCTTCAATAAGTACTATAGGGCAAAACAATCTGTCTTAAGCTATATTTAAGATACAGCTGGAGCAGAAGATTATAGTACCTCTTTTTGCTAAAAAAGTAAAAATTGTTCCTGCAAGTTCAGGAACAATTGCTTTTTGTATTACTAGTTACTTCCCATTTAAATCTTGCATTCTTGTGACAGAGCTGCAATCATGGGTTGCAGAACAACTCATCTGCAAAATCCTGAGCTAGCAAAACTTAAAACTGTTGTCTAAGATATAATTCAATGCTTACTTTCATTTGAAAATGAATTGAAAGTTTTATGCTGCTTTAGTTTCAGGGCTGAGAGCTGAACCTAGAGAAACTCTAAAAAACCCTACTAACTTTAGGCCAAAAGCAAGCCCACAGACTCCAAACACTTTTTGCATAATAGCATATTAGTGGCCCAAGTACAGCTCTTTAGAATTTTGGACTGTCTCTACTTTTGGCATGACTTATTTAACCTGTGGGCAAATTTGAAACAGTCTTGATTTTGTGGGTCATTTTAATGCATTTTGCTATGTGTCAAGTTACCAATAGCAAATACAGCTATGCAAGCCATCTGCTTCATTGAGTCACATAGGAAGGCCCTATACACAGAATTAAAGGGCACATCTTAGAGGTCTCACAGCAAGATTACCTAACAATACTCAGTTTCTAATGTAGCTGTCTCAGAATAAAGTAGCGGATGGTGCTAACTTGACCACGTTGATTTCTTCCAGACCAGTCTTTTGTGACTCTAGCCACAAATGACTCCTATGTGAAAGGAGCACTGGTACTTGGTTCATCCTTGCAACAGCATAGAACGACAAGGAAGCTGACTGCACTCATAACTCCTCAGGTGTCAGATCTTATGAGGTAAGGTCACTTAAATGCTTTGGACTGCAACAGTTCCTGCTGATGTGCAGGTTGAAAAATGGAAGTTAACTTCCTTAATAGTAACCTTTTAAAACTCTGGAAGCTAAATAGCTAATTTCAGCAGAACTCACCTTATCTATACTATCTGAAGTTCTGTAAGTTCTTCAAACATGAAACTGTTTATGTTTTGGTGTGGTTTTTTTTTTCTTCCCTATGATGAGTTAAACAAGTAGTCTGCAGTTAGAGCTCTAAACCATGGCTTGATACTGATATTTCTGATGGATCTTTGCTCTTTTGTAGTCCTGCTTAAAATTGTCCAACAATGTGATATTCCCTGTGCATTTGTTAGTACTATGTGTATGCATGTGGAGGTGGGGGCAGCAAATTGGTATTTATTTGTTTTGCAGAAGTATTCCCAATTGACATAATATAACACAAGCTCTATTGAAATCTAGCAGACACTTCAAATTTTATCATGGGAGAAGCGAGCAGAACTGAAGTAGCACCAAGTATGTCAAATCAGCAGCTGAACAGAGGCATCTAACAAGGTCACCACAGTACATCAAATGAAATTAAGAGGCAACTGCTTCCTACAGCCTCCTTAGAATAGTCTCACTATGGAGTGGACTGGATTCTTTCCACATGTAAGAGGGTAAAAAAAAAAACCAACAAAAGAGTTGATAACTATGGGGAGCTACAGATGATAGGTCAGGATTCTCTGCATGGGGAAGTAATTCTGAAAAGAGTTATCAATATATAGACACAATAGAGAGGTGACTCAATAAAAAAATGCAGTGACTTTTTCTGGAGTCTCCTGGCAGCTAAACAGTTGTATCACTTATTAAAATGTTGCATATAGGAATATCCGTTTCAGCCTACTAGGTGAGTGTGCTCTTCTAAGATGAACCTTAAATGTACCTATGTGCTAGTGAAAGCCACCTAGTACTATGCCCTTAGACCAGTGATACCTATGTACCTAATGGTGTAATTGGAACTTGCATTTCTCACCCTGTCTCCACTAACAAAGTATGCCTGAAGTTCAGAAGCACTGACCCACCAACTGTCAATATAAAGACTGCTTTGCAAGGCAGAGTTCCAAAACTCATTTACAAGCTCTGTGGCTTAAATTGTACTGGCAATTGCTGAGCATTCAAGATATGCTGTAGAACAGTAAGACTTTACTGATGTTTCCTGTTTTAAGCAGCATGAACACCTTAATCTCTTGAAATAATGATAATGCTCTATTGATGATTAAGCAAAGGTTGGATATCTGCCACAAAATTTTACTACACTGCCTGTAAGTTTGTCACTCTTTAGTGAATATGATACTGGTTCAAAACATTTTGTACCCACAGCCATGACTAAGTCAGTCTTGAAAAGACCTTATGGGATAAAGAAAGCTTTAGCAACTAGGTCTAGTCAGACGTCTCAAATGTCCTAGACGTCACAAACCCCGAACAGTGTAAGTATTGCATAAAATTGTGTCTCAGCTGTTTTGGATTCAGATACTGTCCTGTTCAAGCTAGTCCAACAGCTTCGCATTTCTTAATTGTCTACTCAGAGTAGGCTGTTAGTTGCCAGAAATCGGAGTCTGGATGAAAAAAAAAGCTTAGTGTATGACTTACTGGACTTGATAGCAATCCCAACTAAAACTCTGTGTAGGAAGAAAGCAAACCCCAAAAGACTTCTTTGTTTCCCAAATGTGCACATGACAAACTTTACAGCAGACAGGTGTACTTGTGTGTTCCAAAATATGCAATCAGCTCTTACTACTTTTCAACAAGAAATGTTTCCTGGTCTCCTGTTATTCCACTCTCTTTATGGAATCTGTCATGTGGTCTGCTGTTGGAGTAACACTAGAACTAAATCTTGCCAATTGACTCTTCCCCAGGAGAGTGCTGGAAAAAGTCTTTGATGAAGTCATATTGGTAAATGTCTTGGACAGTGGGGATTCAGCACACTTGGCGTTAATGAAAAGACCTGAGTTGGGCATCACACTTACAAAGCTTCACTGCTGGGAACTGACACAGTTTTCAAAATGTGTTTTCATGGATGCAGACACAATGGTAAGTGGCTGTGTCTCATGGTACCTCTCGAAGACCTAGTATCAGGGCTGTTGGATTTTTTTGTGGGTTTTTTTTTTTTTTTTTTTAGAATAGGGCTATAAAATGGACTAGTAACAATAAGAATGTGTGTGCCTTTTAAACTAAATTAACTGTTATGAAGTCTGTGGGGACTATTTCTGTAAAGTACTGTCTTCTGTAAGATGAACACTTGGAGAACTTTTTTTCATGTCTTAGTGTTGATGCCAAAATCCATGAAAACATGATACCACAATTCCTAACCTAAAAGCATTTTTTTAAACTCCTTTACAATTAGGTTTTGTCAAATATAGATGAGCTTTTTGAGAGAGAAGAGCTATCTGCAGCACCAGATCCAGGCTGGCCTGACTGTTTTAATTCAGGAGTTTTTGTTTACCGACCTTCCACTGAAACATACAGGCAGCTGTTACAGTTTGCCACAGAGAAAGGCAGCTTTGATGGTATGTATTAATTTGTGTTTCAGTGTAAGTTAGACCAAAATGGTGACAGTACTTGGGATGGCTCAGTAACTACATATATCTCATGGGGACTCTGTATGATAGAATTCTCAATGTAGCTGTGCAAAAATTGTATCCTTCTCAGAAATAGAAGCTATCATTATAATATGTAGTAAAATTACTTTTTTCAGGCTTAATGAAATAAAAAGTAAGTTTGGCCTCCAGACTTACAGGTGTAGAATCATATAACAAGAAATGAAACTCCAGTACTATGCTTCAGACATTCTTAACACTCAAGGCTTGGATGTTCTATACTAACTCAGGCTGCTATAGAAAAATTAGTACTGGTCACCTTGAGCACAGCTTCAGAGAATCAAAAATTTGAAGATACAGCTATCTCTTCATATGCTATGTGATGGCTTCCTGTCTTTATAGGGTGTTGACTGTCTCTTTCCCAATATCAAGTGCATGTAGTAGCCTTGGCTGCTTCCCACTATAGGTTACTTGGGATCTGCCACTGTACCAGGGTTAAGCTTGAGAAGCCAAGTCGTGCTGTCTTGTAAGTCTACTAAATCTGTTACTGTTGCAGTAAAAGCATCTGTCCCTTGGAGATGGCTATAGTTAAAGGCTTCTGAGTATCACTGTCTCCTGTCACTTAATTTCACTATGTTACTACTGTGGTAGAAAACAAAGTCTAACTGAAAAAAAATACAGAAAACTATGTAAATAAGACTATAATATGAAACTCTCAGATAAAAAGTAATGAGCTAGCCTGTTGACTTACCTCTCAATACTTTGTGAACAGTAAAATATTCAGATGCCACTCCTGATCTGTAGAATAATCCTTGTTACTGTAGGGACACGTGTGTGGCCTTCTAAAGAACATTGGTTACAGTTGCATGCTCAATGCTACCCAATGAAAATGAACACTGCCATATAATGAAAGTCAAAGGTGCAAATTGATCACCAGATATGGCAAAATCTATAGCATAATTCTGAATTGTTGCATTAAAACAAACAAACAAAATCCCCCCAAAACCAACCAAACACCCTCTTCCTACCCCCCCAAAAAAACTCCCAACCCCTTCAAAAGACACCAATCAAAAAACCCCCAAACAAATAAAACTGTTTTTGCAATATGCTTTGACTTGAATGTTAAAGCCATGCAATGGTGAAACTTCCTCTGTCCTAAACGCAAAGCAATTGTTGCAGCACTTAACAGCAAAAATAGTGGGCTAATTGTTTAGTTATCAAATTTCTAGAACTGTAATTTGTACTTCAGCTTCAAAATCTGCCTAGTTTTTAGTAAATGGTAGCACTGATCTGATCTGAGTAATGATGCCATGGAGACCTAGACCATCTGTATAAGCTAGTGCTGAGCCCAGGAACTTGGTAGGGAGAAAGTTAATTGAAAATTAAATTGATCTGGAGTGTAATAAAAGGGCCTAGAAAACTTAAGAGAAACGTGTGAAGGGTCACTGCTTTTAATGGGACACAAGGATGCAAACTTAACAACCTACGAAACTATGTGTAGTTGAAGTCAAGTTGCAAGTACCTTGTCCACAGTAGGAGTAACTAGGGAATAGAAGACCTTCCAGAATACTTCTTGTATGTAACAGCAGACAGCTGCCTCCGGTGTAGTACTGTTGTCCAGAAATGGCAGAATGATGGCTACTTATGTAGACATCTACTTTGTCTGTCTAAACTTCACCTTTGCAGATAATAAAGAATATGTCATGCAACTACTCTAGATACCATCTAAAAGTAGTGGATACGAAAGAAAAGTTTTGTATTAGAAGAAATTTGGTAGTACTGCTACCTTAAGAATGTTGCTATTGCTCAGACAATCCTCTTGCTCTTTAGCCTCAGATCCAAAATAGTTGCTTTTTCAGTCTTGCTGTATTGTACCTTGATATGTATCTGTAAATATGTTGTTAATGTAAGTTCTGCCTGATTTTTCACCTTATGTGTGAGATCCTGTTTACATAACAATACCTGTTGAAGTCTCAATTAGGACAGGCTAGATGCTCCTTTCATTGTCTGCTTTGGCACAAATGCATGCAATCTGACAAAAGGCCAAGCATGTTAAACAATCCGAGCGAGAAAAACTCCTGTAGAGTAAGTTAAATACACTGTTGCTGCCCCTTCAGTTCTTTTATGATGGATACAAGTTTTTCAAAAGTGCTTTCCTTCCTTTATGGATTGAGAGGCAAGTCAGAGGTTTGAAATTGCTGGACTGAGTCTCCAGGCTGTTTCTCACTCTGCAATCTGCATGTATGCTGACAGCTGTAACAGGATACCTAGAATTTATATTTGTCAGTGTACTGTCTGTACATCTAAGTTTATGCCCAGCGTCTAGATATTTCAGCTGCAAAAAGCAAATTCTGCTCAAACAGTACTGAAGGTATAAACCTTAATACTGCCCTACATTGAATCATAGGCCACTAAAAGCCTTTTTGTGAGTCAGCAGAGTCTGAGTGCTTAAGAAAATGAAAGATTAAAATGAAACGTTGTCTACAAACTAAGCTATCCATTTACCTACCCCTCAAGTAATGCTACTTGTGAATGCAGTGATAGGTGAAAGAACACAGCAAGTGAAAGTCAGAGGACTCCCTTCAAGCTCCTTGATAAAAGGGATTATTGCCATTTAAAGACTAATCGATAAAGAATGAATGGATATAGATAAATAGATTTTTACTTCTCAGTTGCTGCTTATAAACTAGTCTACTCTGGCCTGAAGGCTATATTTATTTTTTTAGCTAATCTACTACTCAGATACCAAACAACTTCAGATTCATTTAACCTTGTAACAACCTCTACTTGCAAACTATGACATGATCCTTCTGAACACAGATTGTTATCCTCATTTAGTGGTTAGTCAGAAGCTTTTTAGTATAGCATTAGGAACACCTATTATCTGTTAAGGAATTTGATGGAGTTTTACTAGAATCGTCAATGAGACTACATGTGCTTTACTTATCAACTCAGTGGGAAGGTAGATGCGTTTGGGACTGCACGTCTAACAGGCAACTGATACCCTAACTTTGTCAGTGAGATTGTTGGTCATGCATTTGTAAGCATAAGTAATAAAACTAATTGTTGCCATTTGATCTTACAGCTGAGCAGTGCTCAGTTGTACTGTTTTATTGTGGGGTATTTTTGCTGCATTATACAGATTGAACTTAAGCTGCAAAAGAAACTGAATGGCAGAGTTTGTGAGCAGCTTCCTATCTTTTAACAAAAGTAACCCCATATAAATTATTTCATTCTCTGCATTTTTTGAATATTCAAAGGCTGCAAGGTTTACAGGGTTGTTCACAAATAGAACTGCAGTGCTCTGTGCCAGACTTCTACAGGACATGATAACTGCATTACCAACTCTTACTTAGTAAAGTGACTGAAAAAGATCCTCAAACAGCTGTCTGATGCTCGTAGCCTATTAATGCTTTCTCTTTTAGGTGCAGATCAGGGGTTATTAAACACCTTCTTCAGCAGCTGGGCAACAACAGACATGAGCAAACATCTACCGTTTATTTATAATTTGAGCAGCACTTCTGTATATTCCTACCTTCCAGCATTTAAAGCGTAAGTTGAAAACTTCGAGGAGACCTTCAGCGTTTACATAAACTAATTTCTTGTAACAGAATGAACAGGCATGATGTGAGCTTACACAGGTTTTCTAGAAGTGGACTGTTCCTGCCATTCAAAACATCATAATTTCTTCTCTTAAAAAAAAAAAAAAAAGGTTGAATTGATAAAAGTCAAATCCAGCTGTATCTGTAGCTTAAACCACTCATTCCTGGTGATAACACTGAAGTTGAGTAAGCACGTTTGACAGGTCACTTGCAAAAGGAAAAAACACTCCTCCAGTACAGGATACAGTCTAGAACAGTTCTAACCAATGGCAGCAGGGTCTTTAATCAACTTGAGCTGACCTTCAGCATGTCACTGGTGGTATCCTTCCCACTTAGATAACTTGCCCTTTCTTCACTCCAGTTACTTAGGGTATTTAACAACTTGTAGTTCCAGTTTCATCTAATCAACCTATACCATTCAAATAAGTGTGGTGAACAAAGATTTGTATCAAGCTAGAATTCTCTCCAAACAGTCTTTCTAGACATCTGTCAGTTCCTTAACTAACAGCAAGATGGAACAAATAATACAGCCAACCACATATCACTGCATGTTTCCTCTGTGACAAAGCCTGTATCCTCCCTAGCCTGCAGCGTCAGTGTGGCATGTGAGTAAACTGTATGTCAGAGGCAGGGTTGTTGAAAGTGTTATAACAGTCCAGGAGAAATGGGGGGGGGGGGGGGGGGGGGGAAGAAGAAGGGAAACACAGAAACTCTTTGTAAATTATGAGCTACAGAAGTTGGAGGCAAGGAAGAGGGAAACTGCCAAGTGCATAAAAACAATCTGATCTCTGAATGACATCAGGTTACTAGTGTCTAAAGCAGCAACTGGCATAAGCAGGGCTTGCTGGCTCAAGATCAAACTATGTCTTGTGATCAGAATACTATTTGGAATCTTGTCATGCTAAAAGTGGAACACTTATTTAAAGAAATATATGCAAGCCTCAGAATGACTAAGTAGCTGGATAGCATTTGATAAACTAACATCTATTGTAATGTATGCCCTCTTTCCATGGCTGGCTCTTAGTCACATGACCTTAATTTTACAAATTACTTTATTGCCACAGAACACTAATTGGATCTGGGAGCTCCTGACAAAAGTTATCTTTAACTGATTGAATCAGTTGCTTAACTGAATTCATCAGACCTTCAAAAATAGAATGCTGGAAGTGCAGCCCTCGTAAGTAACATTCCCTGCTCAAGAGGTGGAACAACTTCCCTTGGTTAGATCAGCAGTTACACTCCGGATAATCAACAGTTAGAATATAGTGAAATTTAAACCTACTGACAGCAATAGCTAAGTTTTTTGCAGCTTTGTACAGCGAGACTAGATTTCACAGCAGTCTCAGTAATCCTTTTTCCAAAGGAAAATGCCAATTCATGACAAATGCTCTCTAACTTCAAAACATTGATGAAGGACTTTTCTGGGAGATGTGGAAAGACAGATTAGTTGCTGAGGTCAGTGTGGACATAAAGCTTCCTAACAGTTGAGCTTAAATGCCAAAATAAAGTATTGCAGGTCCAGAAAATATCTAGAAAGCAGATATTGAAAACATTGTAGAAGCTTGGCATCTGTTGTTCTGACTGTAATTGGACAGGATACCAAGAGTATACTTCTCCATTTGCAACAAGTGTCATATGCTACTTCTTATGCATTCTATTCTCTAGCTTAACTTCCCTTGATTTTTGAACAATAAATTTCCTTAGAACAGCAGCAGCCTAAGATGAAGAAAACTCATGTTTAGTACTGACAGCTAATAAAACTAAGGTAATCCCCTTATGCTAAATCTTGACATTTGGGGTTTAAAGTTAAAGCCCAGTAACTGACCTCTTGAAGCCACTTTTTTTCATGCAGTCAAAGCAAATACTTGGCCTTTCACGCACACATAAGTCTTCATTCTGCAATAAGATCAGTTGTATTGAAAACATTGAACATGAACATTGAAATATAGTCAAGGACCTTAAAATAGTATGAAACCTACAACCCCATTCAAATGCATACTTGGTTTGAATATTCTATGGCTTTTGAAACACACGTGTATTGTCTCCATACACAAAACTCTTTAACACCCAAGTCCTGGTCAAAATGACCAGCATCTGCTTAATAAAACATTATGTAAACTACTTGCTGTTACTCTCTATTTCAGTCATATTATGTTGACAAGAAAGCCTAATGTGATACAAACTGAATTAGGTGAGATTGAGATAGGTGAGACTGTTAGCAGACAGAGTAGTATTGCTTGTTCACAAAACTGAATCAAGCTAAAACCCAGCTCTAGAACTGTAGGAGAGTGACATGAATGTTGGCTCTTTCAGTGTTAAGTTCCTTACTTGAGAAGAGGTGCATCTCATCTTTACTTTTAATACAGAAGAACATACTGATTACAGCTGGGAAAAAAGCTAGAAGTCCATATTGAAAATAGAGTTTAAATGGTTTCAAAAAGAAATGAAAACAATCCACTATCAAACCCACGCATGGTTGCCCTAAGGTTATTTAGGAAGTAAGGGCTGTCTAGCAAGACCGTGCTACACGAGATCAGGAGTCTTCTGAAATGCCTTGGTTATACAAAGTTATTATTTTGCAGGGACATGGTCTCCTTGCATCCAATGATCCATTTCTACAGGGCTGTAAACTGAAAGGGTAACTCTTAAGACTGACCTTTCTCCACACAGTACTTGTAATGCTTAACTCTCTGGCTTGCTGATTTTGGAGTAGAATATTTTTCACTTTTAAAACCAGTTCTGATTGCAACGGCTGCTTGAGACTGCTCTCCCCTGAGCTATGGACATCACCCTAAAGACTTGAGTTGTCTGTAAGTATTTAAATAGCCCAGGCCACTAAGTTTTGGCTGTATTCTGACTAGTGTAATGTAGAATTCAGCTTGCATTTTTCCCATTGTATCGCAATGCTTTCAGTCCCAATAGGCATTGGAAGTTTGATCATTTAGCATTTAGCCTCCTAAATATATTAATATTTCTGTTTTCTGGACAAATACGGAAATAACAGGTTAAAAAAAAGTTATGTCTGCCTGTCAAAACTTGTTTTCTAGAGACATGTACAAATTGACTTGTAAAATTTTTCCGCCCAACAGGTTTGGTGCAAATACTAAGGTGGTGCATTTCCTGGGAAGCACAAAGCCATGGAACTATACGTATGACTCCAGAACAAAAAGCATAAAGGGCAACATGGATGACCCTAAAATAGTTCACCCAGAATTCCTCAACATGTGGTGGGATACCTACATAGCTGATGTTTTACCATTACTAGAACAGCATGGAATTGTTAAAGAAATTACTACAGGGGTAAATATGGTACGTGCTCTAATAATCTTGTACATCCATACCTAAGTATGGATGACAGGTTATTTACCATTGCATCAATTTCCCTTCCCTCTGTCCATCTCAAAGCATGGGTGCAGTTTAGTTCGTGGGATAAAGGGTATTTTAGTTTTGTCCTTTTAAGCTTGGAATAAATAATACTACAAAAGAGAAGCATGCTAGACAGGTCTTGGACATGATGGTATGCTTACCTAAACCAAACTATGTACATAGTTAATGTAGCACCAGCTCTTACACTGTAGTAACTTCTTTGATGTAGTAACTTCTTTAATTTGTACAGAGAAGGGTCTAAGTCTTAATGTGTTGCAGCTAATAAGGTTCTCAAGCAGAAGAACCCCAGTTCAGCATGCAAATATATACATACAGATCTTGCATGGTGAATCACATTTAGATATGCCTAGGACAACCAAAGTAATGCTTCTAACTCTAGTTCTCATTCATAGAGTTTAGCAGCCTGCATCTGACTGCAGACTTCTTAGTCTTAGCTTAGTACATGGACCAGTTTAAGTTCTCAGCCTTTCTAAGACCAAAGTTATTGACCTCTTCAGATGTGCTTCTCTTGGTAATCTTGCATCTTTCTAACAAACTATTTGCAGCTATCGGGCTTGGTCTATACTCTGGCTTTCTCTTGTGGCTTCTGTAGAGAGGTATGAAGAACTTAAATTTTACTTTTTTCTTTTTTTTCCCTTGCTAACTTCTGTAACTCTGCTTTGTTATTTTGCTAGGAAAGCTGCACAATCCCTGCACATTGGCAATGCTTGCTACTGCGCATGATAACATCAACTTTGTTGTCCCATTCTATGACCTGTTGATTGCTTTAGCTGTACAAAGTATTTCTATATTTTTACTCTACCTTTCCTTTTAGGCAGAAGTTACAGAGGCAGTGTCCCACGTATCAGTATCACCACTATTACCAACTGAATCTTCAGAAGAACGCAAGGAACGGTGGGAACAGGGCCAAGCTGACTATATGGGAGTGGATTCCTTTGACAACATCAAGAAGAAACTTGACACCTACCTTCAGTAGAAGTGCCTGTCTCAAACAGTGGTGATGCAAGGACTTGCTCCAGAACTAACAGCTAGAAAGGTATAGATGGTGGTCAGTTACACTTGCTAGTAGCTTGAGGAAAAACTTCTTGGCTGAAGGTCTCTGCAGTGCTACAGATGAAGACTGAGCAAAAGCTAGGAAGCAGAATCCTTGGGCCACCTATTACTGCCCTATTTCCAATTCTCCATACTAGATAAAACCAGGCATTTTCAGCTTAAAATTTCTTCTGTTTTGATCAATTCGCTCAACATATTCTTTAAACTGGGTTTGTTACCTCACCTCATTAGGTGATTAGCATTGATTCCTTTGCTTGCTGTTTTAGATGTAAAATCTAATTCATGGGATTGCTCATACACTGGAGTGGTAGCCATTCTGCTTTACCATAAATGTATTAATGACACTGGGAAACATACAGTTGTAACAGTAATAGCACTGCTTTGCTCTTCCAGTCACAATTGCACTGAAATTTTGACCAGGTTCTTACGCACAGTGCCTGCAGCATGGCAGAATGCGTTTTTCAGTTCTGTATACTATGGGACTAGTAAACTGAGTTTTATCTGTTCCTTGCAATGTTGCACTTGATACAAAAATAAAAAGTTGTCATGCATTTCTGTCTTCCCTAAACTCTTGAGCAATTAAAAAAAGGAGATTCAAAGCAGTCTAACTAAAATATTCAACAGGTATAAATATCCCTTAAGCTTTGCTGATGCTACTCAAACTCTCATTAGCAAATGTCCAGCTTTTAGTACGTAATTATTTAGAAGTACTTAGTAATTTGCCAGGGAGTTGTTCAGGGCCAATCCCTGTATTAACTTGCCATAAATATAGGAGAGGGCACATGAGGAAGTACCTGATGAAGCTGTTTACATTAGTAACTTGAAGTTTGGGGAGAAGGCTAAAGAAACACCATCCCTAATGTAAGCCCTGTACACTGAACTTAGTCATAAAAATAACTGTGATACTACTTTGGAAAAGAAAGATTACATAGCTGCTTAAGTAACTGTATCTGCCTTGGTAAGGAAAACTACTCTTTCCTTGGTAAGGAAAACTACTCTTTCCACATATAAAGACAGCAAAAGAAAGTGCTTTTTTTTTGCCACACTCAGGCTACATGTACTCCAAGACACATGGAAAAGCAGTAAAAATAAAGTATGCTGATGACAGACAGAGATTGGCTGTCATCTGTACTAAGGTTTTCTATCAAAAGTCTTAACAGAACAAAAGTAGTGTTTTTTGACAGCTGTACCTTGCAGAAATCCAGAAACACTAAGAAAATATTACTTCCTTATTTCCTAGTAAAGGAGAATTTTGGCTGGAATTTAGTGATGGTGCTACACCATGAGCCTAGAGATAAATAATCAACAAGCTCTCACCATTTGCTGGTAAAGCAGAAGACATAATATAAGGGTTGGTCTATTTTAACTTGTTTTCACTACTTAATTCCTCTATGATTTAGTTGTTCACCATGTAGAAAAATGCTAAAAGATGAGGTCCAAACCAAAGTAGCTTGTAGCTACTTAAAAGAACATAGTATCTGAACTCCAGGTTGTAACTAGCCCTTTCCTGTATGGGTTTTTCTTTTGCTGTGTTTTGGTTTTTTGGGTTTTTTTAACAGATAAATTTGAAGTTGTGTGAAAGCATGAACGCAGGAGGGATTACTAGTTACAGTCTGTAATGACAAAGGTATACTTTATCAAACAAATATTGGAGAGTTCTGCGTACTCAAAGACTACTCTGTGGGAAATTATAAAATTCTCTTTTTGAGCCAAACAGTCTAAATTTTCCTCCCCTTGTCTGTATTCATACTGGAGAATAGGGACATTAGTTCTTTTTAAGCTTAGTTGGAGAGAACCAAGAAAGTATAAAAGTATGATACTTACTACCTGCCTAAAAATTTTGTTCAGCACGTATGTTTTGTTACGTTAATACAGTAAGATAAGGAGAGATGCTGAATAAGATGACAACCAGCATGTTTTGGGTTAACAAATACAGTCAGTGAAGAAAGATAACTTGTGAAAATAATTCTGTTGTAGCCTCTGTAATTCATACTACGATCAAGTGTTTACCACAGCCTCAGGAAAGGTATGACATCTATACCAAATTCTGTGCAGCTTATTTTCAATAAAATGACCTTTATGTCATTATTTACCACTATTTCCTTCACAATTGCTGTAGGCAGCTTTTGCAGAAAAGCAGAGATCCCTTTTTTCCCTTGCAATAGCATCACTTGATACATCAGGCAGTTTTCTGCTCTAATCTGAATGTACTCTAAACAGCACTATACTCTAAACATCATTATTCAGAAGAATCACAGCACTGCTTAGATTGCAACTCAAATACTGGAACTTTGTTTGCCATTTTGAACCCTATAATCTAAGGCCTTCCTTAAATGGTCACAACTCAGAGCAACTCTTAAAAGCTTAAGAAGCATTTTTTCCATATACATCTTTATTTTATGTATAGGGTAAGAAAGAAAAAAAAAGGAACAAAAAACCAAACCCCCCCCCCCAAACAAGAAACAAAACCCAACCAAAATCAGAGTGATAGACTACTAACTCAATCTTTGGAATTAAAAATAATTCCAAAAGCTTACTCATAGAACATACCATTGAAACTTCACTAAGGAGAATGCCAAAAGCCAAAGACTACTTACAGATCATGAAAAGCAGAAAAAAAAGCCCAAAGAGTCAGAACACCAAGGTGTTTGACCACTTGCTTACAGAACAGCTCAATCAAATCAGACAGAACTTTTCTGTGCTCAGCTTTTACCTCTTTTCTCTCAGATACATTAATGGCTTTCTTGGGAGGGACCATAAAGCTTACCTTTAGTAAGTTATATGTGGCTTTGAAACATGGAAATAATAATCTAATAGATGAAAAAAATACTAGTAATTGTTTTTAGTTATTTTCAAAATCATACTAGCCATTTTACAAAATGTCAGCATATGTTCATATAAGTAATGATGTAGCTTGACTAGCCATAGACATGGTTCTCTTGTCTGTGAAATTTGTACTTGGAAAATGGACATAACAAAAAAAGGTGAAATTGCCCCTACATAATTGCAAATTGTTTTTCCAGCTTATCTCTAAATATCAAAATTTGTACCAGCAAAACACAAAGAAAGTTTAACATACATAAACTCTATGAACCAAATCAAAACAAACAACAATGCACACAAAAAAAACCCCAAAAAGTGGCACTCAAAACCCAACTTCAATCAGGTTTAGCTGTTTTCTTGTTCTTTTTCAGCTTTCTAGTGGCAATCAGATACTGGGGTTCATGCTGTCTTCCACTGTTTGTGTCCTTGTAATTCTTTCTGTAACAGACTTAAAGTATGCCTTTCTCCATGGCTAAGGTGCTGGCTCTCCAAAAACGGCATCAGTTTGATAGTTTGCTTGTTTTTAATTCCTTTCTCACTCCTTTCATTACCTCACTTGCTCCAAATAGTAGATATCTTCCCTTTATTTCTCAGTCCTTTTCCACTGCCTATGTTTGCAATTCATCTTACAATCAGCAGGTTGATATTTTCAGATGTAAGAGGTGAAAGGCTTTACAAGCTTTATGGACTCCATTTCTCTGCTGCTACACTTCTCAAATCTAAACAGGACATGGATAGCAATCTATGACTCCAATTCAAAGTCTGAGCATCACAGTGAAGGGAGCAGAATGTTAGGTAAACACATATCAGAAGACAAGAATCAAATGGAAAGAAAGGAACAGACATAAATATTCAGCTAATGCTCAACTGAGATTCTTCAGTGCTTTCATTAGTGTATACAATAATCACCGTGTCAGGTAAACAAGAAATTTTGCTGAACACAAAGCAATACTGTAGCTGTTGCTACTTATACTTCGGATGTAACATTAAATGTGAGGATCTGTGAAATGCCAGGTCTGTGTTCTGCATTTTCCCAGCATGTTTCATCTATCTACAGGTACAGTGCTACTAGTTCTCAGAAAATACTTAAATCTACATCCACTGTAATAATGTTCTGTCCCTTGTAAGCAAGTCTCATGCAATGGGCTCGCCTTGTCATGTCACCCACATACTGCAGGTTGCCTAAGAATTCTTCTTAATGACTTGTTTTAGATTCTAAGAACCTCTGATACCTACAAACACTCAGAGACATCAAACTGCAAGATGAAAGCCAAACAGGTCTCGTTTCTCCAGCCTATGGTAGTAAGCAAAATAGTAACAAATTATGTATTTTTCACTGCGAGATGAACATTCCTGGAAGGCCATATATGGCAAACTGTTCTATTATTAATCTCACCATATGAGAACAACATGATGTCTGGAGGAAAGACCTAGCCCAAACATGCAGAAGTATGTTCCGTTCTATTTTTGCTGTAGTCAAGAAAGACTGAAGTGTACTACTTTCACTCTTCTCTCATCAATCCAGCACAGAAAAAGTGAATTACAGTACATCTGTACCTTTCTGCAGTATCTCATACAAAGGATACTGTATTTTACATTGGAAAATATTAAAAAACCTGAGCCTTAGAGAAACATCTGTACACTTGTGATATTCTCACATTAAAGGTTCGTATTTCTTCCTAAAGGTGAGAATTCTGCATCTATGAATGTATTTAAACAAACAAGCAATTTTAAAAAAGGGGAGAGGGAGAAAGTAATCTAGTTGGACAAATATTCCTCCCTTGCACCTCTCAGAGAAGGAATATGGCTCTCCAAGCTACAGTTCTACAATAAATCCACAGAATTTAAAAAACTGATTACTCCACTGGTATTTCTGCTTCTTAAATCCTATTATTGCCGCTAGTGCACTTCAAGGAATGCTAATGCATGAATGAATCTCATTTGGCACTGATTAGTCAAAAGTGAGATCACAAAGGATCATGTGGGTCCACTGCTCCTCCATCAAACACAAGCAGTCAACCACTGCTGCTTGGGCTGGCTACCATCACAGGATGGCTACCAGCAGGATGAGAAGTTGCTGTTCAATGGTCTATAAAGGCAGCAATTATATTTGGCTGGGGGTTGTTAGGTATACCTACAGACTGTAGATGACTCGGTGTTAGCAATGCTTAGCGTATTTTCTTACAGCTGCTTGCCACAATACAATGAATTCATTATACCTCATTCATTATCTTCACAGAAGATTAAAATGATTTTGCAGTTTCTACAATATTTCTGCAGTATTCAGAGAATTGTTGAAAAAAAAAGCAGTCAGACTTGATGGCATTATGGTAGTGTAGATCCCCTCCAACTGAATGGATCAATGTAGTCCATACACAGATAATATTTGTGAAGATGCATTGTGATTCATGAAAAAAATTCTTTCATGGCAACTTCTCCATACTCTTGTTCATACTTAATTTCTTTGATTTATTAAATAAATACCTTTTGTCTTCATACTGTTACTATCAATGACCTGATGTCCAAGCTAGTACTTTTTCTTTACAATTGGCAGTGATGGATGCCCACGTCCAAAGCTAAACTATTGTTTCAATTTACTCTCTTTCTTTCAAGTGCAGATTTTGTTACAGTTTCCAATTGCCAAAAAACTTGGGAATTACAGCAGAGGAGTAGACAGGGGAAGGCAGGAAGTTAATAGAAAACCCTTAATCTGGTACAATGACACAACACATGAATCAGTTTTGCTAAGGAAAGTATTTTGCTATCAATAAAGGTAATTTACATTTTTATTCTTTACAAATAATTCTGCATTTCTGAGTGCTTTAATGAAAGGAAAAAAAACTTCCTAAATGCAGGTATTACCAGTCTCCCATGGCCACAAAAAGTAACCTCAGACTAATGTCTTAATTTATAAATAAATTCTCAGTAATAGCAGAAGAGACTAGAGCAGACAAGTACTACATTAAATATATACTGTTCCTGAAATTGCACTTTATGGCTTTTGAAGTTCATAAACAACAAATAGAAAGCCTCATTCAAAAGTATCAGAAAGAAAGAGCGATATGAAGAATGAACAGATAGCATATGCTACACTGGAAGGTGTCATACCACTCTGTTAGTAGTACTACTAGCATTCTTTCCACTTACAGTAAATAAATGGACAGCACAAAAATATAGTGTTAAAAGAAGAAGATGCTAGGGAAACAAAAGTCCTATTTGTCTTTTAAACAGATACTCATTAGTGTCATTCTTTCTCAGACAGGTTTTCCTTCTGCCTCTTAGAAAAACACCAAAGAAGCTTCACCTAGATTAGGCCATATCATTATGAACAACCCATTACACACAGGATCCATTAAAAACACTAGGAAGGCTGCTGTCACATTTAATCCAACTCCACCCACTTCCAGAGACAAAAGCATTACAGTTCAGGACCCTGCTTGGTTGCTTTGGAAGCAACAAATTGCTTTCATTCTTTTCTTCTGTGCCATTGACCCATCCAATTGAAAAAATGCAAGCCCTGATTCTCTAAAGAGAAAGTAAAAATGTTGAATTTAACAATTCATTTTGGGTGACAACAGGAAATAAATACATTAAAATCCTGACCTCTGCATATTTGAAATTCCATTTTCTTTGAGAGATCCTTCTAAAACACCATAAAAGGACATGTTTATTAAAAAGAACATCAGTTCTACTTACTTCAAACAGTTTTCTATCAGTGACGAGAAAGTTGTGAACTGAGAAACGAGACATTTAGCAGCTGGACTTATCCCTCCATAGTTCTACTAAAGCATGCATAAGAGCGTTTATCTGAAATCAAATTAAGTATTTATCTGAAATGAAAGGAACTTATTTTGACTTGGCTAGAGTCCATTCCTACAGATGGCTTTGATAAAGTTCACATCAATTGAGAGAAATCACTGTTCAGTAATACCTTTTAAATGAACTAATCTTGAATTCTGTGAGTAGGCTTTCTTCTAATTTCCATAGGAAACTAAGGGTTCAGCATTTTTAATAGTCACAAACTACAGGGTGATTGAGAATGCTTTGGGAAGGAGAATTCACAACGAATTTTCCGGACATACTTCACATGGTCAAAAGTCTGCAAGTCCTCTATCTCCAGGGTATATGGAAAATAGAAAAAAAAGTACTGGAACTTGAGAGAACAAGGCTTAAGCAATGGACAGCCCCAAGGCAAGTGATCTACCACAGCAATACTCAAGAGAAAGGCTTCCCCCAGACATACTGAGACAAATAAGGTATGCAAGACCCTTGGCTAGGTATGACAGGGAATAAGGAGGCACCAGAAGCTCTTTTGGAACCGACATGAGAACAAAAGGAACAAGGAATGGGATTTGAGGCAGAAGAACGCTGCTAGTTTTCTCAGTAAGGTTTAGCTATGATGACATAAAGAACCACTAACTAGAGAATGAAAGTAACTGCACCAGCTAAAAAGAATAAAAATAATGATTTATTCTAGGGTATAATGTCTGAAACTAGCTCTTATGTCTCCACAAAAAGATTTTTAGAGAACAAATTTGTAACCAGCATTTGAAAGAACATTTTCTTCATTAGAAATTAAAAACTTAATGTTTCAGAAAAGCAATCTCAAAATAAAAAAATTAAAGTACAAGCAGAAATATAGAAATTCTGGCAGCAAATGAAAGTGAGACAAAGAAAAATTATGTGGCAGACCTTGAGAAACAAGTGTACAAAGTAAAATAACAATACTGCAATGTTTTTTCTGACAAGTGTTGTATTGAACATATGCCCATTTAGTTTCCCCCTCTAGAGCAGAATATATATTGCTTAAATAAGATTTAAGAAATTATTTATTTAGATTTTGTTTCCAAAAGTAAATTAAGATTAAAAAATTTCAATGTTTATAAAACTGCTCTATCTTCAGAAACTGAAACAAAAAGCAAAGCTCTTTACCTGAAGTTTTATTTAATTAATGCACATCTACGTACCGAACAATGACCAGCATCAATTTACAACTGGTATTCTTTTTGTCTTGTTTCCCTGCTGCAAGGGAATTGCAGTTTGTTTGTGGTGTGATTTTAGTTTGCATTTTCTTCTGTGCTGGCTAGACATGATGCACAGACTTCTAAATAATAACTTTAAGTAAGTTATCCATACTTATATGTTCAGTATATTTACACAATTATAAAGTATGCTCTACAAAAACGTAATGAAAGCTAAATGAAACATAATAGAATTCACCTTTGAGCTAGATATCCACTCCTGATCAGGCTTCTTTCCATAACTGGAGTCTACTTCCTCTTCTAGGCGACCATTCCACCAAGCTGTCTACTTGAAGCTCATTCCTACAGAGAGGGCATTTGGCTGTACAAAAGCCCAAACAACATTAAAAGAAATATATTAAATCTTTAAATCTAGTTATTTATAGTGAATGATAATTACCACCTTTACAAAGCACCTTTTATGCATTTATCATATTGATGTAAAAACATCCTCAAGGATTCATTCTTGTAACACACTTTCTCATTTCTGACGTGACAGTCAAAATATTTTATTTGCAAGAACATTAACATGACCTAAACACTGCACATTTTATAAATACTCAGCCTTCCTTAAAAGTGAATTGGTCTTCTTTCTGAGCATATTTATATTTAAATAAGTATCTTAAGGTTTTAAAGCAAGGATATATTTGGGCTATGAGAGTAAGATTATTTAAAATATGAGAAAAATAAACCATCTTTCAAAGCCAATATCTTTCTTAGTTACAAACAAAAGAATGACCTTTTAGCCTTTTTCTTCAAAGCCTGCACAGAAATAATAGCAGTCTGATGAAATATGCTTTGTCAGGACCAGACAAGGGGTATCTTCTCTTTTTCCCCAACAGACACATGAAATGAGACATAATTTAAGACCAAAAGCCTTTTTCTCTGAAGTACATTCTAGATAAAGCAAAATTTATACAATAGCACTTTCATAGGACTAGTCAGAAAATTTAATAATAGTCTGCGTGCACTGTACAAATAGACAACTTTGTGAGGCAAAAATGACAGCCATGAAAAACTTACGCCTAATGGAGCAACCCTTTAAAATTAGGTAACTGTTTATATAGAAATCTGGCCACAGAACCAAGGCATCTTTAGAGAGGCTACAAAGCAGACCTCACAAAGCACATGAATACTGGGGGCTGCTAATCTGGAATGAATTGCTAGCCAATTAGAGAGACTCGCAGTCATAGTCTGATACATTAATTTATTGCAGCAATAAAGATATCCTTTCAAGAGACAGACTCTTTAACACAAACAAATTGGAAATAACAGTTTTCCAAACATAGTGAATGAATGAGCCATTCCTGATTTGGCAGCAAACCCAAAATCCCCCAGTGGCAAGCCAAAATAAATGGCTGTTAAAGTCTATTACATCTGAAAAATGTTTTCTGGGAAAAACCCCACAACCTCCTAACAGTGCTCATAGACATTTTTTTCTTTTTTAATAAAAAGCTCACATCTTTATGCATCCCTTCTCCACTTTAGTGCTGTAATTATAAACAAAACACAAAAGCTGAACATTGCCAGCACAGATACTGAAAGACTTATGGCAAAAGCATATGAAAATGACAAAAAAGATCATTGTTCTCACAATTAACAACTAGAAGAAGAAAAAAGATGTTTGAATGCGTATCTGGTGAGCTTTTATTAGAATGCAGTTGATACACAAAGACAGATTACTATAGAGATCTTATAGCTATATTGTTCCTATATAATCCTATTCTGCATAGGATTTTTACTTACTTGCACAACTCTAAATTTAGTCTCAACAGAAGACTGAAATGAAGATAGTATTAACTCTCAAGCTGTTAAGTACCAAGTTTTTCCAATTCTGGTAAATGCTTTTAGGTTAACATTAGAAAGATAAAGTTATTTCCAAGTTTGTAACACCATGACATGCCAAACTTTTCACTCAGCAGTTTTGTGCTTGCAGCTTCACATCTCATTTGTGTTAATAATGCAAACCATTATCTTGCCTGGAAGAATCCTGCTTAAACCCAAGCTGCTTTGGGGAGAGGGTATGCAGTTTGTTGGTCTCCTTTGTTTTCAAGGTGATACCTAAAGTACTTTCCCATGTTATTTACTATGACAGAATTGCGTTGTATATTCAGGCACAGAAACTAACCAGATCAAATGCAGTACTAGTACAAATACCTATCATGTGGAAACAGTGAATTCCCTAACTTTGGAATTTAGATGCATGTCAGAGTCAACTTTGGAATTTATAGATGCATGTTTAGATATCAGAGTTTTGGCTAAAAGCTGCAAAAACTTCCTTGGCAATCAGGAATCATTTTGAAGGTAAGAAAGCTTATTCACTCACTGTTTTAGAAACTTATGATAGTTCAAAAGAGCAGAACCTGCACCCACCTCTGTTCAGACTTCACTACTGTGAAAGCAATCTATAGACCAACAAGGGATTGGACAAAGGTGGTAGTTCTGGAGATTCCATGATCCTTTCTTGGCAAAACAAAGTGAGTAACTTGACTTTACAGTCAAGTAGTATATAATGATGATAATTCCATCACATCATAACCCAGTTTATTTCTCTCCACGTTAAAAGCACCAGAAGGTTCAGTAGGGACACTGACTGCTACAAACACATCAAGAACCTCTGCACTGGAAAAAGGCCTCTGCAAGTGCTCTTCCTTCACAAGTTTCCCTCAAATTTACCAGAAACTCTAGAGAGTGGGATAGCTGCATCAGAATTTTGTGTATCAGGCAATGGAACAATGTCAGTCCAGAAGCCACACAGACTACCATTTCCACCTCTGTCTTCTTAGGTTGACTGACTGTGCACAAGCAGGGACTAACCTGTCCCTCCCTGCTTGTTCCTAATAAAGAGCACCATCTGGGTTTGTGCTAACATTTGCAGCTTTATTCTGAGGAGGAGTCAGAACAACTCCCAAGAGTAAATGCAGCAGAACTCGATGCAGATGGTGAGACTACCATGCCATTATATTGCCCTAGAAAGGGCAAACAAAAAGTATATCTTAGAAGCACACAAGAAAAAGAAATACTCTGGTTTTCAAAAGAGCAATCCAAGTATACTCATTCACAAGCTTTTTTCTGTATAGAGCCCAGAGAAGGGACATAAAGATGGTCCTTTATCAAGACAGTTATTTCACTGTCCAAGTTTATCAGCTTCGAAAAAGGAGCGCAGACATGACTTTAATTCAACAGTCAACTTCCAGTACACAGCTTTGGTCTCTTTTAAGCGCAATAATATATATGATTTGCATCACATCACATACAAGCAGTGAAGAGGCACCCAGTCATATGGAGGCATACAATGCTGCACACTTTTACCCCAGGGAAAAAGGTAAGAACTACAGAACAAGCTTTTGAAAATACTGAAAGACCTTACCACTGTTCAGTTTGACAGCTACTCTCTGCATAGACTGACTTCAGGCCATTAGTTTTTACAAGCCAGATGATAACTAGGTTTACACGCTTCACAATTTAAACGAACAATAGCTTCTGGTGATAGCAGTTCATTGCTTTCAAATTGCTATTACAATTACTTTTAACTATAGAACAACCAACCTCTCCATTTCTGAGGACTTCAAAAATACCCGCTTTACAAAACACATGCGCACAGTGTCTTATCACGGAAAGAGTCAGTGATTCTAAACAAACTGTGCATTCTTCATCTGAACCAGAGCTCAGAACCAACTTAATTTTACTCACTAATGTCTCGTGCAATTCTTCAGGAGTTTTATCATTTGCAAATACAGAAACATACTTAAACCCAGAGATTTCCATACAGGAAACATTCTGATCTCTCATGCTTCAAAACAGTTCCATTGATCAAAATGCAATCATAACACTTGATACACAGTGAGGATATAGCCTACAATACATAAAAACACAAGCTGCCCCATACAGAAAATTCTGGCCTAACATTTCAAAATACATTAAGAGTAATCCTACTTGGAAAAGTGGTACTTAGATCTTAAAGTACGCTCAGTGATAAGTATGTATGCAACACAATGCCTAATGGGAATAAGCAATTTTCCTGTGGCAGCTGTTTAAGTACCAATAATATTATGGACGTGACATTATTTATAGTAAAGATTGCTTTGTATTTTAAGTAAAGAAATTCAAGCCATACTTAGTTAGTAATTAAGCTCTAAATAATTATTGAGCCATTTAAAAATTTGTTTTCCATCCTGTATTCTTTAGGAAAATAAACAAAAACCTTCTAAAAAAGGTTCTGACCATATCTCATTGGTCTTCTGGATTCTGAAAATCAACAAGGGTGTCCTTCTTGTTGTCTTACAAAAACTGTAAATAACACTAATGTTCAAAGGGATCAAGATGTTATATTTTGACCTATTTCTTTGGAATACGCTAGTATTCTTATATTTCAAGAGCAATAAATCTCTTTATTTGACACTTCATTTGACATTCTTACTAATATTTCATTCTGAGCATATAAGCAAAAAGGCACCTGTCTCCTCCCTCTTCCTCAGCTGGTTTGAGGACTTAATGACACAATCTCCAGAAGTGCCAGAGTGAATCTGCCTAGTCAAAAGCAGGGAATGGAGAGTGCACTCACTACTCACAGAGTGGCACTGTAATTACAATACCACCTCAGTTTTGTATTTCTATTAAATAAATCTCCCTTGGGAAAGCAGATCTGTATCCTTTTACTATCAGGAGAGACTACAGGAACTTGTACCTGCCTTTCACCTCACCAGTACCGACCATGATGACATATGAAGACAACTGAGCACTGTGATACCACTCCACCGTTCCGGCAGGCCTCGGCGGCAGGCCTCGGCCGCCTCCCGCCCCCACAGGGCAGGCCGCGCGCGCCCGCTCCGGGCCGCTCAAACCCCGCCCCCAGACACGCCTCTGCCTCGTGGCGGTCTTCTCCCTCGCCGGGAGAAGAGCACCCTTGGCCAATCAGAGGCCTTCCCTCGCGCCCAGTCCGCGCGGGTAATGGCCAATGGGGAGGCAGCACCTGAGGCGAGGGGTTCGAGGCGGTTAACGGTTGGCAGTTGGTGCTGGTCGGTCGCGGCGGCGGACGTATTGTGGCGCAGTCGGAGTTCGTCACCTTAACGAGGCACCATGGTGGGAAATGGGATCCTTATGACTGCGGGAGGAGAAAGGGCGTTTGGGAGACGGGATCCTTGTGGCTGCGGGGGGAGAAAGGGCGTTTGGGACCGCGTCTGTTGCGGCATTTGAGGGGAGTTCGTGACTGTACGTGCTGCGGCAGGACTCGCAGGCAGTCTGCTTGAAGTCCCCGTGGTAGCTCTAAGGCAGAAAGGTTGGGGAGAAGGAGAGAAATTAGTATGAAAGCTTATTAGCTTTAGGGGAGGCGAGGCATAGAAACCGGCCGATAGCTAGCAAGACAAGATATGTGCAAAGGACGTCTGTTCGGAGCAGGCACCTCCCGCGCCAAAAGGCGAGAGTCGAACTGGAACCTCTATCCAGGCGGCGGGGAGATAGCGGGGCAGGGCATGGTGGCCGCCGGCTGGATCTGTATGCCGGTTTTGGGCTGCCTTGGCGCGTGAAGCCGTAGAGGGCACGGCGCGTGCTCGAGGGACGGGCCGGGCGGCGCGCGACGGGAGCCGCTCCATGGGCATAGCCAATCAGAGGAGGGGGCGTGGCCGACGGCGGTCAGGGCCGGGCCGGGCGGGGCGTGCCGTGGGCCAGTCGCTGGGGGTAGCCAATCAGGGGAAGGGGTGTGGCCGGCGGCGGTGAGGGCTCGGTGGTCGCCGCGAGTCTCGTGGCGGATATGCGGGGCTGGAGCGGAGACTGGAATTTGATGAAGCTACCAAGGAAACGGAAAGAGCAGCCGAAATAGCTTGCTTTTTCTTTTCCACCTCTGCTTTTTTCTAGATACACTCTAACAGTAAATTAGAAAACAGCTTGTTTTCCTTTCAGTTGTAAGGCAATTGAGGCATTGGGAGATTAAACATACATGCCACAGTTGCTTAGAATCAAAGGAGCTAGCTTAAAGGGGGCAGATTATGTGTGATTGGGATTCTTAAAACGATTTCATGTAGGAATATGTGTGAAAAAAAAAAGATGTACTAATTGCTAGGGCCTAGATACTGGTATGCCTATTATAAAGGAAAATGTACTGAATAGTCCTGTGCAGGAAAGATGCTTGCAACAGTTACCCAGTATATTGTGTGGTAACAAGTCAAGGAAATTGGGGGGATATTATATAAAGAGGTCTTCCAAAAACTAAAAGAAGAGTAAAAAGAAACTGGGCTGAATATTAAAGATGGAATATATATACAGCATTGTAAGGGATAATGAATTTGTGTTCCTAGAGGGACTATGTTGTCTTTAGGATCTTCCAATATTCACAGAGTCAGTGCAGGTCAGCAAAGGTGAGTAGTGTCTTGCCAGCAGCCAACAACTTGTTCTCCTAAATTGTCACTTAAGGGCAGCCAGGGAATATTGCAGCAAAGATCATGGAAGATACAACCCATGGGCAGGCAGCTCAATGTCTCATTATCATTCTCTTTTTACTTTGCAGCGTGAATGCATATCCATCCATGTTGGCCAGGCTGGTGTTCAGATTGGCAATGCATGTTGGGAATTGTATTGTCTTGAACATGGGATCCAGCCTGATGGTCAAGTGCCTAGTGATAATACTATGGGACGTGGAGATGATTCATTTAACACTTTCTTCAGTGAGACAGGAGCTGGTAAACATGTTCCGAGAGCGGTGTTTGTAGACCTAGAACCAACCGTAGTTGGTATGTACCCAACATTAAAGATCTTTAGTGAAAAAGTGAGGATCCGTTACAGATTCCCTACTGTCTTTTTTGTTTGTTTAGAACACTATAGATTTTAAAATGTGTGGATGCTGTTTTGACATTTATTGTTACTTGAAAGAAATTAAATAATGGTCTACCAGTAACAACATCTGGAAAACAAGAGAACTTTTTTATGATCTGGATCATCTTTTCAGACTGCTGCACTGCATACAGAGTTTTGCTTGAGAGCTATCCAGTATTGTGTCTGCACGTGTAATGTAGTTTTCTGAGTGATCTCTGTGTTCCTTGAGTACAAATACTGCTTTGTGTGTGCCTGATGTTTACCCTGAAACAAAGGGGCAGAAGTTGTGCCAATTTCTTAGACTAGTCAGACAAGCTGTGTGTAGTCAGAGATGCTGTCTACACTCTTCTGACACATGTACTTTGTGTGTAGTCACTAGGCAGCACACACAGAACTGAACAGATGAAATTTATGATGTGGTATTTTGGGGTTTTTTGTAGATGAAGTACGTACAGGCACATATAGGCAGTTATTCCATCCTGAGCAGCTCATTACTGGGAAAGAAGATGCAGCCAATAATTATGCCAGAGGCCATTATACCATTGGAAAAGAGATTGTTGATCTAGTGCTAGACCGCATTCGCAAACTGGTAAGGATTCGTGCTGCAAGTTAGTATTTAAAGTAATTGATACAGCTCTATAGCTAGCTGTATTGATGGTTTGCTGGTTTTTTGTTAACCATTTTGTGCATAGTTAATTGTTCAAAATAAACCTTTTACTTCCTGGTGTGCCCCATCCCGCCTTTAAATAAAGACTCAATCAGTTAAACCAGAACCTTTCAAGAACACTGTTTTCTAAATAATGGCAATGTAAAACCAGCAAACTTATGACAGAAATGCTTTTGAATGTTTATTTTAATACTGATTTCTCCAAAACCATTGATAACTTTTTTTCTCCCATTTTTTTCCACCTCGTTATAGGCTGACCTGTGCACAGGGCTGCAAGGCTTTCTTATCTTTCATAGTTTTGGTGGAGGCACTGGTTCAGGGTTTGCATCACTGCTCATGGAAAGGCTATCTGTTGACTATGGCAAGAAATCTAAACTGGAGTTTGCAATTTATCCAGCACCACAAGTTTCCACTGCTGTAGTGGAACCCTACAACTCAATTCTAACTACCCACACAACATTAGAGCATTCAGACTGTGCCTTTATGGTAGATAATGAAGCCATTTATGATATATGTCGTCGTAACCTGGACATTGGCCGTCCTACTTACACCAATTTGAACCGATTAATTGGGCAAATTGTTTCATCCATCACAGCTTCACTGCGTTTTGATGGAGCCCTCAATGTAGATCTGACAGAATTTCAAACTAACCTGGTTCCATACCCACGAATCCATTTCCCCTTGGTAACATATGCCCCTATCATCTCCGCTGAAAAAGCATATCATGAGCAGTTATCTGTGGCTGAAATTACCCATGCTTGCTTTGAACCAGCCAACCAGATGGTCAAGTGCGACCCTCGCCATGGCAAGTACATGGCCTGCTGCATGTTATACAGAGGCGATGTTGTGCCCAAAGATGTCAATGCAGCCATTGCCACTATCAAGACTAAACGTACCATTCAGTTTGTGGATTGGTGCCCAACTGGATTTAAGGTATGTAGCCTTTTAAGTATTCGATGCCTAAGTGATTAGGAATTGTGTAGTCTTCAGAGGTGACAGTTGTGCTACAATGTTGTAATGTCCCTGTTAAATATTTTGATAAAGTACAAAATTAACTAAGCTTTTTTATTTATTTGTAATCATTGTGATTTTTGTTAGCAGAAATGAGTCTTTAAGCCTTGGCATTCCTAAGGGAAGTTCTCTTTTTTTTTTTTCTTGAAGGTGGGCATTAACTACCAGCCTCCCACTGTGGTGCCAGGTGCTGATCTTGCCAAGGTGCAGCGGGCTGTGTGTATGCTGAGTAACACAACTGCTATTGCAGAAGCATGGGCTCGGCTCGACCACAAATTTGATCTCATGTATACTAAGCGTGCCTTTGTGCATTGGTATGTTGGGGAGGGGATGGAGGAAGGAGAATTTTCTGAAGCCCGGGAAGACCTGGCTGCCCTTGAGAAAGATTATGAAGAAGTTGGCCTAGACTCAGTAGAAGCAGAGGCTGAAGAAGGAGATGAATATTGAGAAAACTAAAGCCTGGAAAAATCTATTTACCAAAAAAAAATTGCAGAACCCTGTTTGTTTGTTTTCAAATGTGCTTCCAAATAAAGTTCTAAAGATTATACTGCTGCTTTTTTTTTTTTTTTCTTCACTATTAATGTGCATATTCGTGAAGGAAGGACAATTTGAGATTGCAGATTTTGGTAGCGGATCTGTTACCTGCTTTAAAAGTACATAGTAATTTTTACCTTCCTACATTAGCATAGTAAAAAAAATCTAATATTCTTTATTACTATGCTCACATGAACAGAGCTTTAGAGAAACATGGAAGCAGCTCTATCATAGGACATTTGGCTTGTGCAAAAAGTGCTGACCCAGCCAGTTACAGCATGGTGCTAACAACACCAAGGTTGTGGTATCAGTCCTCATACAGGCCATTTAGCTGACTGATCCTTGTGGGAATATTCTGTGAAAAAACTAGACTTTTGTTGGGGGGGGGGTTTGTTGGCTATTAAGAAAGAATGGCTGTAATTAAGTATGAAAAAGTCTGCTTTTGATGCTAGGAGACTGGAAGAACCCAAGTTTCAGTAGTCTAGTTCATTAGGCACGCTCCTGCTGGCAGTCAGCAGCTCCAAGCAGTGCCCAAGTGAAAGCTGCTCTGCACACAAACCACCGACAAGGTCTTCCATTTATGAGCCACCGTTCCCAGTCCTCCGTCTCACTCCTCATGGATCACTTCCAGTTTCTCTTCCCACTGGACAGCTCCACCAGTGTACGGCTCTGCTCTGCCATGACGGAAGATTCCCGGGGGTGTCATCCAGCCACTGAGTCACGCCAAGGCCACGCGGAACCTCGTACGAGGGAACCTCTGCCGAGGCAGCCACGCTCTGCCGCCTGAGCCCGCCCCGCACGGCGCCGCGCGGAGGCGGCTCTGCCCACCGCGGAAGTGCCGGGCGCCGCCCCGGCAGGCTGCGGCTGCTCTCTCCGCTGCTGCGGCGGAACTTTTCGGGACCATGGTGCAGCTTTACAACCTGCACCCGTTCGGGTCGCAGCGAGTAGTGCCCTGCAAGCAAGAACCGGCGCACTTCTGCTGTGGTCAAGACGTGCTGTTCGTTGCCAGCACGGCGGCCAACTGCAGGGTGGAGGTGTTTACCGTGCGCGAGCAGGGCCGCTGCGAGGCCCTGGGCTCCTTCGCCACGCTGGGTCAGGTTCTGCGTATGGCGCACAGCTCGGCAGGTCAGTCCCGGCCATCGCTGGGACCGTGAGTGCTCGGCCGGGGAGACCGGGACGCGTCAGGTCTGAGTGCGTGGAGCGGCCCTGGGGCTCCGCCGGGTGGGGATGGAGGGCCAGCCGGGCTGAGGGCGGGGGGCTGCGGGAGGCGAAGCAAGCCGCTCGGGTTCTGCCGCGGAAGGAGGGCCTGGCCCTCCCACCCGCGTCTGCCTGGGGCTCTTTCTCAGGCTACTTCCGGGCCGGAGGTGGGGCGCGCCTGTGGGAGCGGGCCGGCCGGGCCGAGAAGTGCGGGCCGGTGCCAGCACCGGCAGCGCTCGGGCCTGCCCGGAGGGTGGGAGCCGCAGCTCCCTCGTCTGCCTCCGCCTCGGCTGCGGTCTGTGCTCCTGCCCTGCTTGCTTTGTTGTTTGTTTGTTTGTTTGTTTGTTTGTTTCGGGGTTTTTAAAATTGTTTTTTGTATTTTGTTTTTAGAGCACGGAGTGGGTTGGTTGCTCCAGCCCATTCCACAGCTCTTCGTGAGTTCATTGGTCCATTGCTTTCCGTGGTCTGTAGAGAACAAAACGTTTCCTCATTAAAGGGTATAAGAAGGCGGGCAGGTGGGGGGAACCTTGTATGCAATCAAATTCACACAGGAGTTACTCTGGACCTTGTATGCAATCAAATTCACACAGGAGTTACTCTGGACCTACATCTGTAAGTCTTTGCTTTTAGTGGTGTGTGAAGTGTGTGCCACCCAGCAAAGAAATTTGCACTTTGTGTTCAATTAGAGGAATATTGGTGAAAACTGGTTTTGGAATTTTTTGTAAGAGTTGAGACTTGAAGATGGTCTTTGTAGTGTACTACATCAGATAAAGAGCTCAGAAACTGTAATCTATTTTTAAATTATTATCAGTATGACTGCTTTCTTTTAAGGAGACTATCTGGTGACAATTGAAGAAAAAAGCAAAGCAACTTTCCTAAGAGCATATATGAACTGGAGATGCATGTCTGCAGGGAATTCTCGCGTGTGTGTCCGTATGGTTGGTCACAAGATGGAAGAGTCATACAGTGAAGCCTTAAAAGAGCAGATGTCAGTTGTTGAAATGCCACTTTCAGATCCTCCGCTGTGCATTTCATGTTGTCCTGTGAATGGAGATCTACTTGTGGGCTGCAAGAATAAATTAGTCATGTTCTGTTTGAAACACTGTGTCATAAACCAGAATTTGACTGTGTTAGATTTTGAACGCTCCTTAATTTTGCACATTGATAACCTCATTCCTGCTGAAGTTGCATTTTGTGCCAGACATATAGCCATAACAACAGAGCTGGATGTTCTAATCCTGAAACTGGAACTGGTCCAGCAAAGTGCAGACAGGACAGAGCAATATGCTCAGGGAGTCAGTGCACCAGAAAAGGCTGTGGATGGAGGTAGGTGCTGAAATAAATTTTAATTTTTTTTTAATCTCCAAGGATCTGCTAATTGATTCCCATTGTTCTGAAAGTAGTCTTGAACAAGGTCTTTGCCCTTCAGAAAATATTTTCAGATTGTCCTGTCACTATCAGCTGAATATTGTAGAGCATGAAAAGTTGTACTAACCTGCAGTTGGAGGTAACATTTCAAACAAATGTGCCATCATGCTCCATCTTTAGAGGATAGTACAGCCTCTGCAGACACAGAATTAAGTCCCTGTTTTAGGGTGCCACAATGGGCCAAGTTAAAGTAGTAGTAGTTCAGTGTGCTATGTTCAGAAAAATTATTCTGTCAGTGTCACTGCCTAAGTAACTGGCTTACACAATGAAGAATGTTTCTGGTGTGATGTCTGTGTATTTTTTTAACTGTTAGGCTCAGAACCTGCCATAATCAAGCAAATTCTCCTTTTTCAGTCCTTTATATTATTCAGGAGATTGTCTTAGAATTATAAAATCCCAGAAATAGATGTACTCAGGAGGTATCATTCCTGTGTATTGCAAGATATCAATCCATATGTAATCAATTATCAATCCCCACTTTTCCAAAAATACATGTATCAGATCAACACCAACAAACCTTAGGAAGGTCCTTTCTTTATAATTGAAGAAACTTAAAAGGAGGATCATTTAGAAAAGAAAACTGTAGCTAGAAAAAATTACAAGAAAAGAAGACTTCAGATAGGGACAATACAAATGCAGTGTTCTTCGCTGAGTGATGATGGGTCTTTACTCAGGTAATGGTGTCCTCCCCCTAGATTTTTTAATTACTAAAAACTACACAGAAAAGTTCTAGTTACTTTCTGAGTGTTATTAGGATTTGCTTTCCAGGACTTAAGTGAGCTGAAGATAAGCTATCACAGCTTCTTGTGATAGCTGCCTTTGCCTTCTCAAAACCTCTTCAGCCAAAAGTCAACATTTTTTGAGGACCAGCCATTTGTGGCACCCGTTGTCTTTGACTCACCTTCTATGAACAGTTTACCTGTTAGGGGTTTTTTCCCCAGAAATCTTGACTCTTAAATATTCAGAGTGTTGAGGCTTAAACAGGAATTGTTCCCATCTTGTAGTATGGCTGTTTTCAAAATCTTGTGATTTGAGGAAGCCAGTGCTAGCAGGGTAGCTGTAATTGGAGTATTTAATTGATATTGTCATACTGTTTTCTTACTGCTGCATGGAATGGTTTGAACAATTAAGATAGCATTTTCATTGCTCAGGTGTGAAAGATGAAAGTCCTTCAACACATCCTTTACAGCTTGAATTAGATGAGTTCATCATATGTCAGAAGCCAGTGGAACTGCGTGGGGAAGAAAGTAAGCTATGTGAGATACCTGTCACACTGGAATCTACAGAGTTACCTACAGAAGACACAAAGCACTTCCAAGTGCAGTATTTGCTTTTCAGGTATTACAGACACGTTTTCCCTTTTATGGGTTAATTTAATACAAAAAACCAAACTGTGTTGTGTGTTTTGTCTCTTTGAAAGGAAACTCCTGATATTTTGACTTCTGGGGTTTTTATAAGGTTTGGTGTTTCTTTTGAACTGAGAAAATCATGGGATACTGAGGAAAGTCCATTTTTCAGTATCTTGGAATATTTCACTTGGAAGGGGATCTGCAACAATCATCTAGTGCAATTGCCTGACCACTTCAGGAGTGAGCCACTGTTGAAGTGTATTGTTAAAGGCACAGTCCAAACGCCGCTTAAACAGTGACAGGTCTAGGGCATCAACCATCTCTCTAGGAAGCCTATTCGGTGTTTCACCATTCTTGGTAAGAAAATGGTTCCTCATGTCAAGTGTATACCTCCCCTGGCAAAGCTTTGAGCCTTTCCCAGGATCCCATGGAGAAGAGTTCAGCACCTGCATCTCCAGGTCCTCTCCTCAGAAAGCCGATTTAGTCTTCCTTTTTCACCAAAATTTCTGTCAAAAGCTAAGGAAAAAAAATAGTGTTGGACATGGTATGGTGTTCCATATAGCTCAGTGAAGTAAAAAGAAAGAGGAAAAAAAAGGTTAAATTGATGTCAAAATCAGTTGTGGGATTTCTTCAGTGATGCCAAACTTTGACATGCATCTTGCAGACAAGTGAAGAGAGAGGATTTCGGTTGCTGGAACTCTTATTAATAGATTTCTATCTAGCTGTGCCATGTGCTTCTTGGCATTGGTATTAATGGCATTGGTAGTAGGAGTGTGCATTGTTGTTGAGTGTTAAAACATGAGCTTTGCCTCTTGTAGCCAGTGCTGTTTACTTGTCCAAAGTATATAATCATAATTTTTCACTGCAGTCCGTGGGTTTTTTTTTCTTTTTTCCTAGACGTTTTGCACCCGACCAGTCGCCTTTTGGGTTTTGTGAAGAGATGAAGTTGCACTCTGTTCAACTGCTTCCTGTATACCAGACAGGTAAATGCATATGCATGAGTACACCGTGGAGTGTGTCACAGAAGGCTTGTGAAA